ACACACACACAGAGTTATTGATAATAACACTAAAAATAGGGGCTGCAAATTTGTCAAGTGTCAAAGTTCATTCAGGTTGAACTAATATGTATTTAAGTCACAAGGATTTATGTTCTGTCTTGGGAATGTTTATTTTTAGTGTAATCTGGCCTTAATCATGGAGATATCTTGCTCTGTTTAAAATGTTCAACAGTCAGCCAGATTCAGGTATTTTTTTGTTTGTCTATGTGCAGTTTTGGAGTCAGAATCTTCAGTTATTTTGACCATATCAATACAGTAGACACACACACTTGACCAACATGTTTGGGCTCTAAGGAGAGGTGCATTAGTTGACTAATGTCCTGTTTTTCCTCTCAGGTGTAGCTGATCTGCCCATAAAGGGGGGGCAGGGAATCCAGTTCCAGTTTCCAGCCTCGTAGTGAAGTAGACTTCGGTTTGTTTTGTCGTTTCTGTTATTTTCTGATGGGGTCGGTGGTTTTAATTCTCGTTTAGGCTTAATTTCTGTTAGTTAGGTTTAGTTCATTTAAGGGGGAAAAAGCCCAGATCCTACAGCCCTATCCGTGTGGGTCTGGGTTGATTTTTTATTTTTGGCCAGCTCATCAAACCTTTATTTTTGGTCATCTTTAAAGAAAATGTCCTCTTTAAGAAGATTATTTATAGCTAAGAGGTCTCTCTGCTGGAGCAACAGGAACCCTCTTTAGACTAAAGATTAATGCATTTTAAAATGTGTGGAAATAAAAAGCACAATATAGTAAATTACATTAAAATAACAGCCACCACAGTGTTCCAGGAAGAACTATCCTTACCTTTCCTGCTCCCATAATCTTCTCTGCTGCGTAGACGGCTTTGGAGCAGCGAGGGCAGCGGTCTGAACTCCCAAACTTCTGGGAAAATTTATTAGCGTTGGAGTTTGAAGAAGCTGGTTGTGGTTTAGACCTAGAGAAAATAACAAAAACTATAGTGTGATGACATCTGTGGTTACTTTTTTTACTTGTAGTTTAACTTCTGTGGCCTTTTAATTCTGCTAACAACCAAAGTTTCCACAATTATTTTCCCCTTAGTATTTAATTCATGTCAGAGTGGGAAACCATATCATGGGACACTAAAGCTATATTTACACACTTGCTGTGTCATTTTTCAAGTTATATAATTGTTTCTCTAGCTGTATTAAGAGAAGAACCTTTATTTTACTGGAGAAAAGTGAAAGTAACTAAATTAACTACTAAACTTAATAATTAAAGGTGCAGTTCACTGAAATCACCAAAAATGAAGGTGTATTATGACAGGGTAGCAGTGGAGCAGCATAAAACCAAAACTACCAACATAGCCCAATACCACTAAGTGAGCCAAATATGTTACCAAATCATTCGGGTGAAATGACCCTTTAATGAAAGCCCAGCTTTGGCCAGTGTCTCTAACTGCAGTGTGATCACGTACTCATGAGGCTGCAGGTCTACATTCTGTCCAGGAGGATCAGAGCTCAGAGCTCCAGCTCCTTGCCCGTATCCGTAGCCTTTTGGCCCATATTTCTTCCCGTAACAGGACTTGCAGTAAATCTCAGACTCGTGTGCTGCAACCGTGGTGCTGTCCAGCCCTTTTCTGCAGCTCACTGTGTGAGAGAAACACAAACATTTTACATTGGGGGGGGGGTTCAGTTTATCCAGACTGGGGAGTGACACGGTGGAGTAATGGCGGTTAAATAAAGCTCCCACCTAGCAAGTTTTATCAGTCAACAGTGACATTACACATAGTCAGATGTCTTGTGTTTCTATTTATAGGAAGAGAGGAGAGTGTGAGGTGAATGTTCGAGAAAAGATGAACACTTAGCAGATGCATGAGCTTATCGCAGAGGCCTTTCAGAGCTCCCGCTGGAACAATCCAGCAGTCACACAGACTCACGTCCAACCAACTGCAGAGAGCAGTAAACACATACAAAGGTGTGCACTCTCTTGGTTCTCATGTAGCTCTGAGTCCCCTGGATTATACCGCTGCAGCTGGGAGATCTGGTTATGGCCCAAAAACTTTGGCTGTATCACAACTGAAATTCAGGTCAGGACGTTCGTCAAAAGAGCAGAGGAGGGGAAACTCCCAGCTGTCAGACCCAGAGAGCAGTCATTGAACTAGTAGAGCAGGTTGGATGAGTACAGGGCAACTAATGGAGAAACTGTGAGTGATTTTCTAAGGGAACTTGGTCTAAACTGTAGTATAAAAAAAAGAGCAGCAGGAAAGCAAGTGATTAGGAGTTTAGAGGAAGAGAGGCCAAGAAAAAGAGTAGGGGAAAAGAAGCAAGAAAAAAAGGAAATATGCAAGGATGAAGGATCAGATAGGAGGGAAAAAAGCAAGTGAAAAAGAAAGATAGGAGACAAAGAAAGTCTGGATGCAAGAAAGAAGAAGATAGCAGGACAAAAAGGATTGAAGAAAGGAAGCAGGAAGAAAAGGAGGTAAGTCAAAAAAAGAGAGGGAAAAGGAAGCAATAAAGTGAAAGGTAAAGAAAAGATAAATGATAAAGAAAGCAAAAGGAGCAAGGAAGCAAAAATAACAGGATGAAAATAGAAACAAAAAGACATGAGACAAATAAAAATTAGGAAAATCTAAATAGATTTAAAACCATAAAATCTGAACTGTTTACTACAAAAGAAGAAGAGAATACAGATAGATGCTTCTGTGCTGCTGAGTGGCTCTTCAGCTTACACGGCACCCAGAGGTGTCAGCAAGGCAGTCGATAAAAGCAAATGATCCACCATGACACTCTCTCTCTTTCTCTCTCTACTCACTGCAGATGAAACAGGTCTTATGGAAGCTCCTCGCGTTACACTGGATCTCCTCTGCATGGTACACCGTCTTCTCACAGGCTGCACACTTGGCACCTCCTCCCCAGTTTGGCATCTTAGAGAAACACAAAAAACAAACTTGGAACTGCAACTAATTACTTATTTAATTTCTAATCAATCTATTGATTTCTGACTGTCAGATGTTAAAAATTACACCCATAAAGAGGCTAATGTAGGGCTGCAACTAACACCTGATGACAGATTATTTTCCCAGTTGATCATTTGATCTAATGAAATATACCCATCATAGTTTGCAATGTGGCCAAATCTCAAAGATATTCAGTTTGAAATGATGATTGTTCACATTTGAGGAGCTGGAATCAGAGAAGATTTTACATATTTGCTTAAAAAATCCATTAATTTAAACATCATTTCAGCTAATAGTCTAATGTAATATCTTAAAATTGTTCAAATACTAATTTCTGATGTGAAATGAAGATGAGCTACGACCTTTCTGCATGTTAAGATCTAATACAATTATATTTTCATTTGTTAAATGATAAAAGCAATTATTCAGACATGTTTCATCTAATTTTCTCACATTTAAGCCCAATCTAGAAGCATATTTACACCTTTAAAGCTGCTTTTAAAACGTTGATAACTGAATTATGAAATGAAGGGATCAGTGAATAAACCCTGAACATGACAACAAGACTTATGGTTAAAAGCTTGTATCTACTCCAACCTGTTAACTCTTACAGTGTTGCTCATGTTTCCTGATCAGTTTCTATATTACCCTTCCTCACTTTAACCCATCAGATTTAACTCTAACATCCCCCAAACGCCAGCTGCACTAAAAAGCCTGGAGATGTGGCAGTGCTGTCCTGTCGGGCCTTCTGTCCGACATTCCCGTTTCCACTCATGGGCTGCCCTCCACCTCACAGGACTGGTATGTGACGTTCCAGGAATAGAGGCTTTACTGAGAGTGGCCTCTCCATCAAACACTGCTGGAAATGTCTGAGTTTCCAACAGAAATCTCACATGGAACTGGCTCCTGATGTTTATGCTCATGTCAAAAAAGAAGTCATAAAGTACATATAATCCCACCTATAGAAAATAATCATCAACTACCCACATGACCCCTGTGTTGTAATACACCACTCGACTTTGAAGCTATAACACAAAGAAAATGAGTCCGTACCTTGAACCAAGCCTGTGTGCTTCAGTCCTCCAACGTGGCAGCAAACGCTCCTCGAACGGCTTAAATACCATCCATATCGCCATCACCACAGTCCACCAGTGACGCTTCAATGAAACTATCCTCCTAAAATAACTTGTGACAGAGAAAAGCCCTCTGACCCTTCATCACAGGCTGAAAGAGGGCCGAACATCAGCCACTCAAACATTTGTTCTGCACTCACAGACAGACACTGTAACCATCACAAAACCCTGACTGACAGCTGCACGCAGGGAGGCTTCGGCGTTGGTATGTTACAGGATTATGGACATAAATGATGGGAACTCAAAGCATGAAACTGCAAAGCTGAATATAAACACATTTGTGAGCCACATTAAAGACCCCTGCGATGATCATTACACACCAGAAAACAGAATAGTGGATAGTTTGGTTGGATGAATGTACAGTTTCTTAGTCGTGGGGCAGTTATTCCCCAGAGACGCCATGTTGTTACCTAAATTTAAAATGGTTTATCATTTGTATGGCGGCCATTTTAAGACAATTTATGTCACAATCAAATCATAATGTACAGAAAATTACATTTGTGAAGCCAAGTTGGGAGAAACAGCCTGGCGCCAGACTTCTGAAATCACCATCCACATCTGATTTATTGAGGGGTTCAAATAGGATGAATGAAAGTGAAACAAAATGAGAATTAGGTCTTGATTATCAGGCTAAAGAAAACTGCCAAGTGTTCTTATGATCTTATTTTAATGTATGTTTGTATGCTGCTACTGGATGCTCGAATTTCCCTCGGGATTAATAAAGTATCTTAGTGGGAGATAAAGATAATCTTTGATTGATACCTCCCAATAAAACTCAAGAGTTCAAGTTCAAGAGAGCTCTACTGACACTGTCTCCAATCAGCTGCTGAGTAAACAAGAGATAGTAAAAGTACCAAATATGCAATTATATTCAATTTATGTGAAATAAAATGTATTAATTATTGTTATAACAAGAAGGATTATAAATAAACTTGGAGAGAATTGTTGCAGTGTCAACAAACGTGCTAAAATGACTGCAAAGCAACCATCATTGGTAATTTAATGTGTGTAACATTAAATATTAATGCTAATAATCCAATCAGCTTGTTTCATGATCCACATATGTAATAAAGGTTAACTTTATATTAATGGTGTAATGGCAGGGAAGGGCAGATAATGAATGAGTGCTCCCCACTCACAAATGCTTTCATGTTCCTCCCATTCTGCCGACATGATGTGTGACTGTGGCTACTCTTAGCTTGTCAGACTCAGATAAACTTTCATTAACCCAATCTGTACTTTGTCAGCCTCAGCGGTCATTTTTCAACTTCGCCTGTCCTCAAAGATCCAGTATGTAACGTTTGTATTGGCAGAAATTCAATATACTGAGCACAAACTGCGGTTTTATTAGTGTAAAATCAACTGAAAATAGAATTATGTTTTTGTTAAGAACCTTTATAGCTACAGAGCTATAGCTCATGTTTCTACAGCAGCCCAGAAGGGAAAAAACCAACACCAATTACTGGCATATATAGGACACTTGGGGCTTCGACGTTTCCTCCAACGCGGTTTCTCACCGTAAACACCGTAGTTTTCTCCGCTTCGGCCATATTTGGAAGGCGGTGAGCAGTAGAGTGTTTGTCGAACTACCTAAATGTCCACTAAAATCGCTACACACGCTGGCCCCTTTAATGGTTCCTGTGGAATTTTCATTTTTAGAGCTCCAGTACACCACCAACCGAGCCGATAAAGCACCAAGAAGCACAGCAGTGCACAACAAAGGCAGTGGGCGAGACAGCAAGCTACGTAAACAATGGATATTAAGATACACGGTTATAAAATCGGTTTTACAAATGTTTATGAGGAAGCGAATGTAACCTTGATGGTACGTTTTAGTATCATATACGATA